AACTTGTTAATCTTTTCCCACCCCCCACCCCCATCCCTCTTTCCTCTGAGATACAACAGTCTGTTGCTTGCTTCAGTGTCTCTGGGTCTATTTTGTTTTTCAGTTTCTTTTGGTCATTAACTCCTGCTTAAAGAAGACCCTTTAACATTACATGTAATACTGGTTTGGTGGTGATGAACTCCTTTAGATTTTTCTTATCTGTGAAACTCTTTATCTGACCTTGAATTCTAAATGATAGCTTTGATGGGCAGAGCAATCTTGGTTGTAGGTCTTTGCTTTTCATCACTTTGAATATTTCTTGCCACTCCCTTCTGGCCTGCAAGGTTTCTGTTGAGAAATCAGCTGACAGTCGTATGGGTGCTCCCTTGTAGGTAACTAACTGCTTTTCTCCTGCTGCTTTTAAGATTCTATCTTTGTCTTTAACCTTTGGCATTTTAACTATGATGTGTATTGGTGTGGGCCCCTTTGGGTTCCTCTTGTTTGGGACCCTCTGTGCTTCCTGAACTTGTAAGTCTGTTTCTTTCACCAGGTAGGGGAAGTTTTTTTGTCATCATTTTTTTAAATAGGTTTTCAATTTCTTGCTCTCTTCTCCTTCTGGAATCCCCATAATGTGAATGTTGGGCTGCTTGAAGTTGTCCCAGAGACTCCTTTTGCTATCTTCATATTTCTGGATTCTTTTTTCTTTTTGCTCTTCTGATTGGTGGTTTTTGCTTCCTCATATTCCAGATTGCTGACTTGATTCTCGGTGTTCTCTACTATTGATTCCCTGTAAATTATTCATAATTTCAGTTGGTGTAGCCTTCATTTCTGACTGGTTCTTTTTTATGTCGTTGATGATCTCACTAGTTTCCTTAAAAGTTTTACTAAGATCATTGAGCATCCTTATAACCATTATTTTGAACTCTGTATTTAGTAGCTTACTTGGCTCCATTTCATTTAGTTCTTTTTCTGGAGATTTCTTTTGTTCTTTCATTTGTGAGATGTTTCTCTGCTTCTGCATTTTGGCTGCTTTGTGGTGTTTGTTTCTATGTATTAGGTACACTGCTATGTCTCCTGGAACTGGTAGAGTGGCTTTGTGTAGTAGGTGTCTTGTAGGGCCCAGTGGCTCAGTCTCCCCAGTCACCTGAGCTGAGCCTTCTAGATGCTCTCCTGTGTGGACTATACACTGCTCTGTTGTAGTTGAGCCTTGGTTGCTATTGGTATCACTGGGAGGAATTGACCCCCAGCCCAATCAGCTGTGAGGACCAACTGCAACTACAGCCAAAGAGCTGCTGTGCAGGAAACACCCCTGTGGAGCAGGATTTGCTTCAGTGGGGCTTTGGTGTTCACTGAGTTTGCCCCTTCAGTGTGTCACTTGTGGATGTGGTAGGGTTGTAATCTCGTGTGGTTAAAGCTGACCACCAGGTGCACTGTTTCTGGGGCCTCCCGGGAGGTGCAAAGTCAGGCTCTACCTGTGCCCTGCCCAGGGCCACCCAGCATGAACTACACAACAATCCGTAGATGTTTGCTACTTGTGCTGGGTTTGGAGGTGTCTAGGAGAGGCCAAGCTATGAACCAGTGCAGGCTGCTGCTAGTGCCAGGCCTGGGGCCACTTATCAAGAGCTGTGAGGCATGCTGAGGCCAGCTGCTGCTTGTTTGAGAGATTTTAGGAAAGTCCTAAGCATGAGGCTAGAGAGGCCACTTGCATAGAAAAGCCACTGGAAATGGCTTGGATGAGCTTGCAAGTAGGGAGAGGTGGTGTCTTAGGGATTCACCACGACAGGGGCAAAACTTGTGAGCCAGGTTGATGGAGATTCAGAAAAGACGCCTGCCTGCTGGCTCTGATGGTGGAGATCTCATCAAAGGAGCAATGGCCTCTGCCAGCTCTTCTGTCTGGGAGAAAGCTGCCCCTCCAGGTCTTGTCCTGATTCCAGGCAAGTTAATTCCTCCTCTAATGTCCCAGGTTTGTTTCAAGCTGCTGCCCAGCGCTGGAGCTCAGGGAGTGCTTCTGAATAAGTTCATGCGCTGGCCCTTTAAAAGGAGCTGTCTGGGACTCCCACAGCCTCTGTGTCACTCAGCCACAATCCCTGCTGGTTTTTACAGCCCGAAGTTGTGGGGTCTTCTCTTCCCAGCACTGGAACCCTGGGCTGAGAGACCTGATAGGGGCTGGGACCCTTCGCTCCTCTGGGAAACCTCCACTGCCGAGATATCCCTCCGGGTCCTAAACCACAGCACCTGGGTGTGGGACCACAGCCGTGTCTGTGCGATTCATCAGATTCATCCCAGATTCCGCCCCGCATCTCTGCTCCTCCCACCAGTCTTGATGCTTCTTTAGTTCCCTCCTTGTAGGACTTCTGTTCAGCTGGATTTCAGGAGGTTCTGAGTGATGGTTGTTCTATAGTTTAGTTGTAATTTTGATGTGGTTGTGGGCTGCAGCTACTTATGCCGCCATCTTGTTCTCACAAAATACTGTTGAATGAAAGCACTAAGAATAATAAGTTAATTCCAAATTCTTTTAAACCAGAACTGTTTCCATATTATATAGTGATCACTGATGTTTTAAGACATTATGAAATATTTTTTTTTAAATCATTAAATAAATTGTAATCCCCATAAATTGTTATAAGTATGTGTTATTGCATAGTTGTGGGTTTTTTTCTCCTTTTTGACATACAATTTACATACAATGCATGGTAGCTTTTAAACAATTGTTTATACCTATCTGCGCTGTATATGACATTAACTGAAAACTCCTGTTAGTCAGGACTCTGCTTAAGCATTGACTGATGTAACTAAAATGTCCTTGGACTGTCCCTCCGCTTCTCACCTTTTATGTTCCCTTCACTGTCTTCAAGTGCTCTTCATGACAGCTCCAGCTTTGCCTGTTCCCAGCTTCAGGTTCAATGGGAAGGGAGAATTTTATTTCCTCATAGTTTAACAGAATTCTAAAATTGAGTGTCTCAGTTCTGATGCTCATCATACATATGCCCACCCCTGAACAAGTCAGTGACCACTCAGTTGTGAAACTCATTTTGACTAGATCAGGGCCACATGGCCAGACTTGTAGCCAGGCATAAAGTAGTAGTTCCACTTAAAACACATGGTGGAAACTAAGGAAATTAAATATTAGAAGAAAGGGAGAATAGGTTACTAGGCAGTAAAACCAGTATTTGTCCTTTATGAATTCATTTCAACCATGCAGCTACAACTATATTTTAACTCAGTTTGAGCAGATGATGATGACAACTGCAGGAACTTTTCCTGTTGTATTTAAGATAAAAGAGTGTACACATGTGACAAGTATTAAGCAGGCCAGTATAATGGTAAAGTACTTATAATAAATAGTTTTGTAAATCTTTCCTCGTCTTTGATTGTGTATTTTGTCTTTATCAGTTGGATTCATTTTGTAATTCATTGTGGGTAATTGGGTTTCTTGTTCTTAAGGCTTCCAAGTCAAGAAGGCATCGTCAAGTCAAACTTGACTCTTCTGACTCTGACTCTGCCTCTGGTCAAGGACAAATCAAAGCAACCAGGAAAAAAAGAAACAAAGAAACATTGAAACCAGTAGGAAGGAAGATGTCTTCCAGAAAAAGAGGTAACTTTTTAAAGTCTTTTTTGAAACTCAGCAAGGGAGAATGGGTCTTATTTATAGTCTCCCCTCACTGATTTTTCGTTATTAAAAAGGATTAGATACTTGTTTGACTGAGAAGCTTGTAAGATTTAGTATTAAAAATAAACGAATTACTTAGATTCTTAGAATGTTAACTGCTGAAAGGGACCATAGGAGTCATCAAATTCATCATTTCATAGATGATGAAATTTAGGTCCATATAGATTAATAATATAACTTATTCCAAGTTATATAGCTAGATAGTTATAGAATCAGTCTAGAATTTTCCAGATCATACTTTATTAGTAATTTTTGTGTGTGAAACAGACATGTAGAATAAGGTATGGTAAGTAATATCCTGTAAATCGTATTTCCCTCTAGCTGTGCTAATTAAGCTATACCTGCTTTTCTTTTGAAATAATGTATCTATAAAATTACCTTTGGTATTTGGTTCTTAAAGAAATGACTATGTATTTTAATAATTTAATTTTTGAAAATTATATAGGTAACATATTCGCCGTACATAAAATTGAAGTCTGATTAGCAGGCTCAGGGACAAAAAAGGAGCATTAGAAACATTAGTAAGTATGTAATGCCTAATATAAAACACTTCTAGCTACTACTGGGAGTAGCATGGTAGATAGGTGGGAACACACTGAAAACAGGAACACGAAATAAAAGGCTGAATTAGAGTAATGAGTATCTGGCCAAGTGGTTGGAGGAATTAGACAAGCAGATTAACAGATATGACAGTCAATGTATATCTATAAGTAATAGAGACTGATGGAGAGGGATTAGACAAGGATGCTTAATGCTTAAGCAGTTGGGTGAATGTTGGTGCCTTTAACAGAAATAGGAATCACAGGATGAAGATTTCATTTGGGTGAGGGGGGCATCTACGTTTTTAAGCTCAATTCCTATAATAGCTATCTAGCACATAAATAGGTGCTCAGTATATTGATTGGATTTACTAAGTTTGTTTTACTTAAGCTTTGGCTATACCTGTTCACCATTCCTAGAAAATAACATGCACATTTGTGGAAGGACATCAGTAGTAGTAATGATGATATGATGGTGAAGATGATCTTATGTAACCTTATTGTCTGCCCAAACTTTTTTCACATCTAAGGTCACCTAGGTAATAAATAGAGCTAAGACTTAATGGCAGTCTGTGAATCCAAGCCTGAATCTTTAACTGCTATCCTTGCTGTCTCTCAGGTAATTGGAAATGTGGATCTGGAACTCAAGTTAGGCATGCACTTAAGTAAGTTGTATTCGAGCTGCATGTCCAGTAATCATTAGTTTTCAGATTGAGCAATAGCCTGTTGTTTATAATTGTATCCCACTTGATTAGCTTTGAGCATAGTCAAACTACCTGACATCCTCTGGGGAACTGTTTTGTGGATAACTGAGGTTAATGATTTAAATGTCAAAATTTACTTTTTAAAAGTTTAATTATTCTGGTTGATATCTTTCTAAAACATAATACATTTGTCTTTTATGTTTCTCATTTTCTATAATCTGCATTTATCATTTTTATAATTAGGAAATACTAAAATGTTTTTTTATGCTCTCCTATTTTCTAAAACAATGTACCCTGAACATAATTTAATTTTCTCTATGATTCAGGGTTTTCATCATGAGCATATTATTTTACTGAGTTTTATAATAAAATGAGCTTATCAAGAAAGACCTTAAGTGTAGGGGCCAGTTTATCTTTGAACTGATGGCTTCATGCTGCAGTTCTTATGTCAGCTCTGTGTCTTATTTTTTAAATATAGTTTTTCTGTCACATTCATTGTGGTGGGTGTCTTCTTTCTGTTTTCAGTGTGCAGGCTTGGAGCAGTTTTTTTGCCCTTTTGCTGATTCTTAACTGTAATGGTTTAAGAGACTGTTTGCCTATTCTTTTCAGTTTTCTGTAAAATAAGTGTTATTAAGTTCTGGACGAAGGCCTGAGGAATATACCTGTGACTGAAGTTCATGAGCTTTATTTAATATGTAAACTTTTGAGATAAATATCCTGAAGTTTTGTGTGCTTACTTCTTGGTTCCTGCCTGCGTGATGGGGCGGTATGTGCATGTGTGTGTAGCATTGTGTTTGTTACTGGTTTTTTAACATATATCTTTGTTGATTCCAGAGAAAGGAAGGGAAAGGGAGAGAAAGAGATAGAAACATCAATGATGAGAGAGTCATTGATCATCTGCCTCCTGCATGGCCCCCCCTACTGGGCATGGAGCCTGCAACCCGGGCATGTGCCCTGACCAGGAATCGAACCTCGATCCCCTGGATCCTAGGTTGATACTCAACCGCTGATCCATGCCGGCCGGACTGAGTTTTATTTTTTAAACATTCATTTAATGTAAAAGATCTCTAAAATGCAATTAATCATCATGTGACTAGACAAAGGTTTGTTTCTCATCTATCAATTTTGAATTCAGAAACCCTTCCTTGACATTGTTGGGTAGGTTCTGTTAGGTTGTAGATGTGGATTAAATCATTAATAATCGATATGGATGGACATGGCTAAAAGATTGTGAAGAACGACAATAGTAATTTTAGGTAGAACATACTGATTATAATTTTGTGAATAACTGAAAAGTTTTATAGATTCAAAGTGTAAGAAGTGTGATTAGAAATGGAAAGGTATTTTCTAAAGACTATCATCTTAAAAATTATGTAAAATTATAGTAATTAACATGTAGGATCTGCAAGTAAGGCTAAAATTCTTTTTTAATGACTCAGTGGAAAAATGGCATTATTAAGTGTGAATTGTGTTCAAAATGGAAGCTTATTGCTACAGTTTACTCAGCTCTATCTTAGAGCAATGTCTTCCTTCCATAAAATCTGCAGCCTGTTAGGATCCCGGTATACATGTGTTCAGAGCAGAAAGCTTAAACTCTTTTCATTTAATTTCTTGCCTCCTGTGCCAACAGATACTTGCTAACATATGTGCTGCATGAAATAATGTATTGTAAAAGTTGAATCCACATGTAACCCTTTAACAAATATTTATTGAGTCCCTACTATATGCCAAGCACTTTTCTAAGTGCTGGAGTACATCAACTTAAACCAAAATCTATCCTTGTGAAGCTTATTTCCTAATGGGAAGAGGCAGACTATAAAGAAACAAATTAATGTACAGTATGTCAGGCTGTAAAGTGTTGTGGAGGGAAATAAGGCAGTTTAAGGAATAAGGAGTGACTGGGGGGGGGATTGCCCTGGGGACATGGATGTTAAGTGCCAAGTGAGACCTGATATGTCAGTGGTATCTGAGAAATTTGAATGGGATATTTCTTCAGGCAACAGAAGGTTGATGTAGATAACCTCCAATATTTTGGAAAGTGGAAAGTCAATGGCAAATTATGACTAGAGAAGTATGTCTTGCAGAGCATATGTGGTGATAAAAGAAAGTGCGTCTTCATTCAAAAACAAGGCTGTTAACTTTACATTTGTGATCAGTTAATGAAGTCAAAGTATCACAAATAATTATTTCCTGGTAACAGCAAACACATACTGTGGTGTGTGTGAAAAGACTGAATGAGATGTCTGTGTTTGGCTAGTTGTATTTCTTTTCCTCCATTTTCTTTAATTTTTTTTTTTTTTTTAATCCTCACCTGAGTATATTTTTTCCATTGCTTTTCAGAGAGAGAGAGAGAAAGACATCGATGTGATTGGTTGCCTCCCACACGAACCCCGACAGGGGCCGGGGATTGAGCCTGCACCTGAGGTACACATGTCCTGGGCTGGAATTGAACCCAGGACCCTTCAGTCCAAGGGCCGATGCTCTAACTACTGAGCCAAACCGGCTAGGGGTCCGTTTCTTTAATGGGAAAATTAGAGACTATTTTCAAAGCCTAAGATACAAATGTATTAATATTTAGAAAAAGCTATGTATTTTAAGATGGATATTTCTGTTTGGTATTACAATTATAGCTTTTAGTTTAAACATCTCATTTAAAAAAATATATGTTATTGATTTTAGAGAGAGAAAGGGAGGGGGAGAAAGAGAGAGAAACATCAATGTGAGAAACATTGATTGGCTGCCTCCTGCATACCCGTTACTGAGGATCAAGCCTGCAACCCAGGCATTTGCTCTGACTGGGAATCAAACTGGCGAACCTTTTTTATGGTGCATGGGATGATGCCCAACCAACTGAGCCACACTGGCCAGGGCTTAAACATCTAATTTTTATGTTGTTGTAATAGTGAACATTATTTGTATAAAATTTTTTCTTAAAGAGTTAACATTCTTTGTTTTCATATAAAATCATTTTTTCATCTGTTTCCAGATGGCATACAGAATGTACCTAAGGAAGATAAATGTTTGAGTCTGAGTATGCCTGTAATTACAGAAGAGGATGGGGAGAATGGAAGTCATAGCGAAACAGGTACAGATGAATTTTGTCAAACTCCTGAAGGAAAGCTATGCTCATAGAGCATTAAGGTTCAGAACCCTTGAAGAGCATGATGGTTGGTTCTGTGTCGTTATGTTTTTATCTTTTGCACATTGGAGAATTTTAGTATTAATCATATTAATCAAGACTTTTTTTTCTTTTTAATATTTCTTTATTGATTTTAGAGTGAGGAAGGGAGAGAGAGAGTTGAACCATCAATGATGAGAGAGTCACTGATTGGCTGCCTCCTGCACACCCCCCACTGGGGATCAAGCCCACAACCTGGGCATGTGCCCTGACTGGGAATCGAACTGCGATCTCCTGGATCCTAGTTCCATGCTCAACTGCCAAGCCACACCTGGCCGGGCAATCAAGACATTTAAGAGTAGTAATCCATCAAGGATAATGAATATAATATGAATTAGAGGATAATGAATATAATATGAATTGGTAATCCATCAAGGATAATGAATATAATATGAATTAGAATTAATGCCTAATGACTTCTTTTTCTTTTGGGCTCTATTTTCATTCAGCAAGCATTTATTGGGCACCTCTTGTTTTTCAAGCACTTAGCTAGGTACAGGGATATAAAGATATCTACTCAAGAATTTAAAAGCCATTTTATTTTAATCACATGATTATAGATCTGAGCACAGTGACTGGCCCATAGTGGCCATAAGTAAGTCTTTGTTGAATGAATCATATCAATCTGTGTCCAAAGACCTAAGAGTTTAGTGTGGGAGGAAAATAAGACAGTACATTGTAGTAAAGAGAGGTTTCCATATGCTATAGAAGCATATGGAAAACAAAGAATAGACAATTAAAAGGGAGTATTTGTTCCCTCAGAAATCTGAATGCTTCTGTGGTTTGCTTATGTCAGCATAGAACAGTCCTTTGCAATCTTGTGGTGAGTTTCAGACTGTAGCTTCTCTCCCGTCTTGCTTGCTGGCTTTTACTGTGTGTAAACTATTAATCACACACACCCTTATGGCTAGCTGACAAGTCCTATTCCAAAATCTATCAACTTATTATTGTTAAAAATTTGGTTTTCATTAATCATTATTACATGTGCACATAATTTAGCAATTCAAATAACTTTAAAATACTTATTGTAAGAAACCAGTCTTCTGACTCTGACTCCCATTTGTTACTCCCCAGACACAACCACTTTTAACCCTTTACTAATTATTGTGGTACATACCTCTTTGTCTCTAAGTAACATGTTTATATTGCCATTTCTTTGTATTTCATTTCTGTGGATTATTTGTTGACTTCCCACTGAGGAAGGTGAGGATTTAATACTCTTAAATTCTTCACTTCTCACCCCAAACACACATATGCTTCCCAGCCCCCACCCTCCCAATATAATGATTATTTTAGTCGTGTTGGTATTCAGCATTTACAAAACACTCTTGGCAGTAGGGTAAGGTAATATACTATGGTCCTTCCTTAATCGGTACATTTATTATTTTCCCTAGAGAGGTAATAACTTTTTTGGCCTTACTAATTTATTTTTTCTATGTGCTCATCACTGATTTACTCTCAGACTCTTCCTCAGTTGTATAAATCTCCTCTTGGTATATTCAAACACATTAGGCATTTTACTTTTTAATTTCTTTTTAAATATATCTTTATTGATTTCGGAGAGAGGAAGGGGGAGAGGGAGAGGGAGAGAGAGAGAGAAACATCAGTGATGAGAGTCATTGGTCAGCTACCTCCTGCACACCCCCACTGGGGATCGAGCCCGCAACCTGGTCATGTGCCCTGACCAGGAATCGAACTGCAGTCTCTTGGATCCTAGGTCGATGCTCATGCGCTGAGCCACGCCCACCATGGGCATTTTATCAATTTCATCTTTTTAAAGAAGTCTCTTCCATACCTGTGACCTGCTTTACTCTGGCAGGCCACAGTTTGTTCGCATGGCCTGCTGCACTGTCCTGGCTGCCTCTCTCTTCTGGCAATGTTTTCTTTTTCTCAATTTTTTCTTTGTCTTCTCTTATTCCTTTTCCTGTTACTCCTCTTTTGTTTTTCATTGGTGGGTAATATTTATTTTCTTTACATTTTTCATAATTGTCAAGTTTCTGTACCTTTTATTATTTTCTTTGTTTTTAATGACCAGTAATTATTAGATTTATAACTATTTCTAGATGTATACCTATTTGCGTGTTGTTTCTGGTGTCTGCTGTGGTAGCCAAAAAAGATGTATGGTACTAGGGCTTTGTGTTACATTTTCAGGCTTAATTGAAATGTAAGTTGAAATCTTAGGCACTTTGTCTCAGCACTGGCCTGGATACCTTTCAGATTGGCACACCGGATCCATGCTAAGTATAGGGAGGGCATACCCATGTGAAACAACTTCAAAGTAGCTTATTACTAAGTAGGATTTAGCATGACTAGAGTCTTCATTAGTAAGTTTTCAACTGTAATGTTTTGAGGAAAAAATGTATATATATCAGGTTTACAATTTCTTGTTGGAGCTTTGGTGTGATGGCATTCTTATTTAATACCATTGAAACATCTATATAATTTAAATGTACATTATTAATTATTATTTTTAGACCTGACAGACTTCTTAATTTTATATCTTTAGAGGTCACTGCACCCAAGAGGAAAAGAAAACTCAGAACAAAGAGGCTGGTGTAGAGTTTGTAATTTTGAGCTTTCTGACAGAAGAAAAGAGTTATATTTTGTGTATTGAACAGGAAGTCTGCTGTTATTAAAAATAATCCTCCTGGGAAACTAGGTTGTTTCTTTGAAATGGCAGTACTTGAACAGAGTTCTAGACTAAAAATACAAACACAGTAAGCATTTACTCAAATTTATTTTTAACACATTTCTTTTATGAAGTCTGCATAAGTGATTTAGAATGTAATAGAAGTAATCCTGTTATTTGCAGATTTTTAATATTTCCTACAACTTTTGTGATATTATACTATGTTAGTACAGTTTCGGTAATATTATATTTAAAATCTCTTTTCTTGAAGTATTAATGTTTATGGCATATGAGTGGCTAATTAGTTTGTGTCTACAATATCAACTATTTTATATAGTGTGTGGTTAAGTGCGCTAAAGTTTTTGCCTTATTTGCTTTATTTTTCAATATATGAAATGTACATGGTCAGTAACTTATGTGATTGATAACTTAGGAAGCTCAGTTTCTACTTCTGTAATCAATTAAATACTTTTTGGTGCTTGTTTTAAAGCTTCGTTTGACCTAACACTTATGTCTGTATACATTCTATTTGTATATGTATAGATATATGTATGCATCTATCCATATATGTGTGTGTGTGTGTATATATATATGTATATATACATGCACATATATTATAACATGACTACTAAATACATTAAGTACAACATTTAAATACTGATTATTTCTGACAAAACCTTTAAGAGTGGTAATGTAAATAAATTCCTGAATGTGTCTGGTACAGAATGGTTGGTACTCAAAAAAAAATTCTATAGCTTTCTACCTATGCCTCCGTTAATTTCCCATTTGAGACATTTAAATGGAGATTGCTTGAGCCATGCTGTTTAAATTGCTGCCAGCAGCAAGCCATCTCCACAACATGTGGGCTCAGCTTGTCTTACAGTTGATTCTACTCTAGACTGTTTTCCAGCATTGAATATTCAGAAATTCTCTTAAGTGCCCTCTGAGTGATAATATATGATATCTATAACCTTTTAAAATCAAAATACTAACACTAGCCCAAATAAAACTTTCATTTATTAGAATCTATGTCATCACACTAACTACTAAACAAAATTGTTTCCCATGATTGACTTCAGATATTTCTGGTAATAGGGCAGTTTTCATAATGTGCATACTGAGCAGAGTTTCTGGGTTTTAAATATTCTATGGTTGGGGCACTCAGAGATATGGATTCATTATTGGCCACTTGTATACCAGGTTATTTGCCTGAACTTGCCTGATCATTAAGGTTTACAAACATTGTACAGCTAACACAGTGAGTATCTCCCTATTTTTTTATAGCAATACTCATAAAATATAAGGTATCATTTCACATGTACAGTGAAGAAACTACCTCAGAATGCCTTGCCCACATTCACAAAGTTAGTAAGTGGTGCATCTGGGGTACAAAAACAGACTCTTGCCTATAATTTCATTGTCATTTTATATAAGCCAACAGAAACGGAAATCCAGTGGAATACTTTTGACTGCAAGCATTAAGCCATTTCAAAATGTCTTAAACAATAAGAAAGGTTGATTTTGAAACCAGTTGAGTCTCAGTGCGGGTGGTTCTGGGTTATACACTGTAGTACCTCAGTTCCTTGATGGCTTCTATATCCAGGTTTGAGTCCTTGGGGAAAGCTTTATATCAGTGCAGGGACCTGTTCACCAGCCAGGTTCCCAGACACTAGCCAAAGGCCAACCTTGCAAGCAAGCCTTTCTTAGGGTAGGAGTCTCCGGGCCTGCAGTTACCTCTTCTGCACAGGTGGGTTCATTCCACTTTTCACTATTTCAAACAACTCTCGGTTGACATTTATATGTGTGTCTTGGCTCACTTATGTTGGTATTTCTGTTGGATAAATCTACACATGAATTTGCCTGTCAAATTGTGTGTGTGTACACACACATATATAATTTTTATAATTGTTGCCAAATTGAACTCCAAAAAGACTGCCAATTTACATTCCTACTAACAGTATATGCAAGGGACTCTCCACACCTCCATTACACTGGTTTTCTTTGTAATTGTCAGTTGACTACAGCCTGAATCTTAACAGAAAATATAGAAAATAGATAAAAGTAACAAAATTGTACTATGCAGATGTGAGTTGTTACATGGTTATATCTGAGAGAGTGTAGTGCTTTAGCTGATAGCAGGTTTTTCATGAATATATGATGAAAATACAGCGTGAACCACTTGATAGCTTTGCTTTATTTAAGTGTGAAATTGAAACTTATTGAACAGAGTTAAAGTAGAAAATGTGTTTAACAGTAGGTTTTCAGAATTAAAATGTGTTCAAGTACTAGTTACCTATTAAATTAAACTACTTGCATTTTCAACTTAATTATAATAAAATAACTGTACCAAGTTATAAGTACATGATTTGAATATTAATTTACTAAATTAATGTTTTGTAGGGGAAGAAGCTTTGTAGCAGTGTCCGTAGAAGAGCTGTATTTTAACGTCATGTCACTTTACTTTCAGAAATCTTACTATATGGAAGTATTGTTCAAAATAGAGAATTGGAATTAGAGCAGTTTTAATGTTATAGGCCAGGTTTACTTGGAGGATCTAAAAAACAAATTGTGAATAAAAAGTGGGACCGTAAAGAAAATGGAGCTTGTTGTGTGGATGCTTATTGGTGGACTGTATTTTTCACTTTGAAAATAAAGTATTATAATTTGTTTCTTCAGAAAGGAACCATCCTGAAAATGTGCAGTTCTGTATGAGAAATCTTTGTGTGTTCTTTGTTTTCTTTTCTGGTTCTGTTACGGGTTTATGTTGTTGTAAGCACACCTAAGTTCCCATCTGGGTTTCTAACCTTTCTCTTAATGCTTCAGAGGTTTTCTCGCTGAGCAGATAGATTCAGTGTGGGAAACACTCCCAATCGCTCAACACCCAATTAAAGTGCTCCTTCCCTGAAACACACACAGTTGTACCGCCTGCAGGGTATTTTCTACTGCCAGAGGAGGGACAGTGAACCAACTTACAGGCAAAGGCTTTGTCTTCTACAGGAATTTCTAGGACAGCAATATAATAGGGAAATGCATTGAAATTTCATTTATCTAAATGGTTTGAATACTTGTAATTTTCTCACCTGGAAATTAGAAAGTCAGAAATTTGTATCCGTCCTGATTCTGCCACAGATTCATTGTGTCTCCTTAAAACATTAATTTCGTTTTGTTTAAATCCTTTTCTCAGCTGTGAATTCAAGATATTACAGAACTGTATTCCTGACTTGTCAGAAATATTAAGAACTGCATGCTGCTTTGAAAATGCAAAGATACGAATGCTAAGCTTCAAAATAACTGCCACCGGAAAGTGTAAGCTTTTAAAATGTACTTGGATATACTCTAAGGAAACTAGAGTGGTTATTAGTGCTTTATGCGGTTTTTGAGTTGATTTTTAAAAAAAATATATCTTAATTATTGACTTCAGAGAGAGGAAGGGAGAGGGAGAGAGAGCGATAGAAACATCAATGATGAGAGAGTCATCGATCGGCTGCCTCCTGCTCGCCCCTGACGGGATGGAGCCAGCAACCCGGGCATGTGCCCTGACCAGGAATCGTGCTGCTGTCTTCTGGATCTATGTCGACGATCAACTGCTGAGCCACGCCTGGCCAGACGAGGTGATTTCTTAAGTCATAATAATTGAAAGCTTACGTGTTTACAACGATCCTCAGATTGGTATGAGACAAAGCTCCTACTGCTCAATTGACAATTTCAGGAGTGCCTGGTTTTCTTTTTTCAAGTTGAATTAGGTACAATATATATCTTCTTCCTAATAGCATATTTTGGTTATGACAAAAAGATTCATACATGTAAAGAGAGAGAAAATATCTTTAACTGAGGTATCTTTAAAAAGGAACTTTGTGAGCTGAAAATTACTTTTGCTTTGACATGAAGAGCCTAGAAAATATGCAGAGTTATTAATGCCTTCCCAGTCTACTCCTGATTCTTGAATTCAATTACAATTTGAAGAATGCTTGCTTTTTAAATAGCATTGAGAGGACTGTGGGTGCTTAACTATTTTCATTTCCATTTCTCTTTGAACTATGTAGTAATTTTCATAGCACATTTTAAAGATTCCCTGTATTAAGGTAAATGCTAGTGCCTTAGGCTGTATAACCCCTTTTTACATGGTATTTTTTATGCCTGAATCATTTGGTTTAATGTGCTATATATTGCAGGTCTGGATTTTTATTCTTTTTTAAGATAATTTTGGACAGGCTACTTGAGCTTGCACAGAACAAAGGCACGTTATCTTAAATGCTGGAGGCTCATTTAAGAATGTAGAGGACAGCCCTGGCCAGTGTGGCTCAGTTGTTTGGAGCGTTGTCCTGTACACTGGAAGGTTGAGGGTTTGATCCCTGGTCAGGGCATGTGCGGGAGGCAACTGATCAATGTTTTACTTTCATGTCGATGTTTCTCCCTCTCCCTTTACTCTCTTTTTAAAATAAAAAAGAAAATAGAATATAGAGGACAGTAAGGCCATCATCTCATCAGAGGCACAGCTTCTTGGAAAGCTGAAAAAATAGGTCTTTGTCAAGTAGTACAGCCAGCTGCTCGATGGCCAGGTTCTGGCCTCATCTTGACGTGGATGACCACTGCTGTGCAGTCACAATATGCATACTCTTATTCATGTGTTTTCCAGCTTCTCTCTGCACATTTCCTCTGCTGCTTCTGTCTTTGAAAGAGGCCTGATTGATTCTACTAGTTATAATCTGAAAGAGAGCCCCCTGATTGGGCATAGATTACTGGGTCTTTCTGGTCTCTCATGTCCACCCAGAGGATGGCTGTCCTTAACTAAGGCATAGATCCTTCGTACAATCAGTTGTGGCCAGTATAGCAGGTTCACAAGCCACAGGGCACAGCAAGTTATGTGGAGGACCCAACTCTGGCAACTTAGAAGAGGTTGTGAGCAGGACAGGCCTTTGGAATCTCATGGATTTCTTTGCCCAATCATGATTTGATTAAAATGATAAAGATGCTATACATTATTGTCAGTATTGCAGCTTTGTGAAGCAATAAAGTAGTGGCAAAAGTATTCATTTGACAAACAGCAGCATTGCACAGTGGTTAAGAGAAATTGCTTGGGGGCCGGACTGCCTTGGTTAGCTCTGGGCTTACCATGTGATAAGTTAGGGATGTATATCCTTCACTTAATATAATTCCACTTAAACTCCCTACTACCTCTTGCTATAGTGTCATGTATTTTACTTCCATATGTTATAAACCTCATCATACACTTTTCTTGCTTTAAACAAAGAAAAAATAACCCACATATGAAGCTTTTC